GTGAGTCCAAAATGAAGAATACGACTTTATGGATAACAACTTCTTGAGTATTACATAGAGCGACGTGTAGATGTAGATGATAAAAGAGTTGTTATTCATATAGTAGTATGCATCATTATAAGCATTCAAATAGGAAATTGATCCCAATCCCAATCCAAGAATAATATGTAACAACCCCAGAATTGATCATATCCACGACTTGATTCGATTGATTTGATTGCATTTGAAAGAAAATGACTCTGTATAATCCGACATCTGAATTTTCTGACAATCTGTGAATTTCGACATATTTTTGGGTCCCGGCAGCATTCTTCTATGTTAGTAGCATCATTTAAACATTGAATATTCCGACATCTGTACATTAAAATTCCGACATAATTTTCTTGAATGGGCTGAGAAAAGGGTTCAATTAATTTTGTGAGATCAATTACCAATGAGTCAGTGGTGTCAACTTGAATTGTCACTGTCAGCAATAAATAGCTTGCTACACTGTAGACCATTACCGATGCAAAATGGAAACTCCACCACTAAAGAGACAAAGAAGAGATCTGATTCAACTCGATCTGTTTGATTGGCATTTTAGAAGTTGATTGATAACAAGCCGGCATCGAAACCCATTTCACCAGCTCCATCCCAATGAAAACTCTACTCCAAGCCAATTGCAGGAACACCTCCAAACAACAAACACCCAAAGAAGTTGTTTACAAGATCAGCTGTGACTGTGGTTAGGCCTATGTTGGTGAAACCTCCCGCCCCATAAACCTCAGAATTAAAGAACACCTAGCATCAACCAAGAAGTCAGACCGTAAATCAGCTATCTCTGAACACATAATCAACTGTCATAATCACAACATTGAATGGGACAATGTGGAAATATTATCAAAAAACCTCCAGGACTTCACAAAAAGCAAACTGGCAGAAGCAGTTCAAATCCGCCGACACAAGCCCTCAATCAACAGAGACCAAGGGTACCTCTTTCCATCCGCCTACAATGAACTGATAAAAACAACAGAACAGAGCACTCCAGCCATCATTGTTAGTAATTCCATCTGCTTCCTCCCATTGTTATTGTATCATTACCTACCCCATCTGCTATGTATATTTTGTTCCGCCTCCTCAACCTTGGCTTCCTCCCATTGTTATTGTATTATTACCTATCCCATCTGCTATGTATATCTTGTTCCGCCTCCTCAACCTTGGCTTCCTCCCACTGTTATTGTATTATTACCTACCCCATCTGCTATGTATATCTTGTTCCGCCTCCTCAACCTTGGCTTCCTCCCATTGTTATTGTATTATTACCTACCCCATCTGCTATGTATATCTTGTTCCGCCTCCTCAACCTTGGCTTCCTCCCATTGTTATTGTATTATTACCTACCCCATCTGCTATGTATATCTTGTTCCGCCTCCTCAACCTTGGCTTCCTCCCATTGTTATTGTATTATTACCTATCCCATCTGCTATGTATATCTTGTTCCGCCTCCTCAACCTTGGCTTCCCCTCCCACTGTTATTGTATTATTACCTACCCCATCTGCTATGTATATCTTGTTCCGCCTCCTCAACCTTGGCTTCCTCCCATTGTTATTGTATTATTACCTACCCCATCTGCTATGTATATCTTGTTCCGCCTCCTCAACCTTGGCTTCCTCCCATTGTTATTGTATTATTACCTACCCATCTGCTATGTACACCTTGTTCCACCTCCTCAACCTTGGCTTCCTCTCATTGTTATTGTATTATTACCTACCCCATCTGCTATGTATATCTTGTTCCGCCTCCTCAACCTTGGCTTCCTCCCACTGTTATTGTATTATTACCTACCCCATCTGCTATGTATATCTTGTTCCGCCTCCTCAACCTTGGCTTCCTCCCATTGTTATTGTATTATTACCTACCCCATCTGCTATGTATATCTTGTTCCGCCTCCTCAACCTTGGCTTCCTCCCATTGTTGTTGTATTATTACCTGTCCCATTGTTGTTGTTAATCCCTTTGATGTATTCCCCCATGTTGTCTTACTCAATCCCTGTTACGTGTATATAAGTCGGTTCTGTGCTGTATTACTTTACTCTTGCTTGACAACGGTATAAGAAGCTATACCGAAATGTTGCATCATACAATCTGTACTGGATATCTTGCTCGTCATCCTGCGTTTTCGTGGTTGTAGTCTTGCAGTAGTCTTGTATCACTGTACCCCACTCACGATTGAGAACCTTCGACTGTTAAAACGAATTAACTGTACAACAAACTTCGAAACTGGAAAGTGTATCAACTTTCAGTAAACGGAACTGGATCCAGATGATATAAACAACACCTTCTCGTGACCAGGAATGAATACCAAGGAGACCACACCTCCAACAGCTGTCAAAATGTGATGCAAGTAAGAATGAAGGCAAATCCTAATTATAACCTGCAGTGAAGTACGTATGTCTCGACTTTAGACGATCCCAATAATCCCCGGTGGAAGAAAACCCTTTCCAGAGACTGCAACTTGATAGTGTAAACATAGCAGGTCGGAATGACCTTGGATCCCCCGGATCGTGATGACAATAAGCGACTGTCAAAGCATTAAATACACTGTGAACTGTAATATTTCATACTGACGAGTAAATCACTCGCGACACTTGTGACTGATAACTGTACCTGTGACTGTACCTGTACATTTGAAGCATACGATCCTGTGATATTCCATCGGAATGAATACGGATCGATTGTTGGATTCTTGGGACTGTCAGACGAAATCCGGATGTCAAAGTTGAAAATAACTCCCTAAAATCACTTATCCACAACTAGATACTTAAAGAGCAGACCAAGTGTTAATAACAGCCATGCTTATTAAAAGTTATGCAAATAAAAATCTCTTATAATGCCAAAAGTAGAATTTAGCTGTGACGCAACCCTGGAACCCTACCTTACTTGTAAAAGTCAAAATTGCCGCTCCGAAACTAACCTTGACCGGTCTATTTATAGGTGACCTAAGGTCACATGATACGCAAACGTGACGTCAGAATATCCAAGATAGCGACTGTAAACATGATTGAGCTTACTTGTGCTGGAATTTACTGTTATAGTTGAAACTGTAGTTTGGAAGCAGACTGCACAAAGGTATGTATCTTGGCTGGTATTACTTTGGTGGTTGGGGGGCGTGATTATCTCAGTACTTGAAGACCTAGATTAGGCTGACTGACTGAATGACTTAATTTGGTTTTACGCCGCTTGAAGCAATATTCCAGCAACATCACGGCGGGGGACACCAGAAATGGGCTTCACAAATTGTACCCATGTGGGGATTCGAACCCGGGTCTTCGGCGTGACGAGCCAACGCTTTAACCACTAGGTTACCCAACCGCCCCAGACCAAGATTAGACATGACTTTTTGTTACAATATATATATTTTTCACGGTTAGTTTGCTCTTTCCACCAAGTGAAATCTGTTTGTTAGTACTGTAAGACTAGCCATTCTTTTACAGGTTATTTAGTTGATTTTGTGGAATATTTTTCTGGTTCGGGCAAACAGTCGATCCAGATCAATATAAACAGTGTTAACTTTCTAAACTAAACTTCAAGTTTCAAACTATTCTTGCCGAAAAAAAAAACAGATTAAAATTGCTTATAATCGTGTGTCTATCGTTAGGTTTTTATGACTTGAACAATGGTGATACTCATAAAATTCTTCACAAGAACTCTACGATGCTGAAGATAATTATCGGTTTTGGAGTAGTAACTAAATCCTCAATACAAACTCACATAAAATACCAGTGTTAACACATATCGCCAATTACCTGGTAGGTCTAGATGCTCGGATGGTGATTGTGTGGATCCCGTAATGTAGCATATCATGTCATCCTCCGACTCATAAGGTGTAGAACCAGTTGATGTTCCAGCGTCACTGTCGGACATGGTTGCTTATCAAACTATACTCAAATGTCAAATGTTGATCTACGTGAATTATTAGTCATAGATTGAGCAGCTACTTCCCAACAGTTTAAGTATTAAAATGAGAGTGCATGATCTGTAATCTTCGAAGCCATTCAGAACGATTCATTCGACAAACATTTTCCGTCTTTGTCGCACCGCTATCTGTGACATAATATGTTCTGGGTCCTTCTTTGTCGTAGAACACAACTCCCTGACAATAACGAATGGCTACTTCCAATACAACTAAGCCAGCATTCCGTATGGTGTGGAATCTAATATCGACCAAGTCCCTTGGTCCTTCTGTAAAATGTCCGTCACGATCCAAGACACAGATGTCAGTTTCCAGCTTCTTGTAAATGTGTTCTCTCAGAGACTCTTGTGATATGTCCAGCTTAAAACCAGTGTATTCCGGTTTCTTAGTTGTATATCCTTCTTTTGTTGTTAGATTTGATTCGCTAACACCCAAGAAGTATGACCCCCCACCAACAACCTTGGACATAGATGTAATGTTGTCCTTGAGCTTCAAATAGTTCCATATGTAGTCAGTCAACTGTTTAGCATCTCCCTTAATGCTTGTGACTTCTTTCGTGGCCTGGAATCTTTTCAGCTGTATATGTCGGTTCTCGTGAAGGTCCTGGACGTTATCTGGTAGTTTTGCAGTAGGGACGCTACCTGCTTGAGTTTCTGTTTTTCTCAGCAACACCTGTATGTTTGATGAGTTGATGCTAAGATTTTCACTGTCATTAGTTGCTTTTGTGTTGAAATCAACAGTACATACACTCTCAACTTTCCCGACTGTTATCTGAACAAAGTCAGTAATATCTTCAAATGTTTCAATCTGACACAAACATTTACGTTCATAGACGTCAGTATAGAGTTCGCCGTTTTCAAGTAACCCTGTCAACTCATTTCTGACGGCCTCGTCAAAGTACTCCAGACACCGGTCTTCCTCGGACGTCCCTTGTACGTGGACTAGCAACACTCCTCCACCACTGTTACGTAATGCTGACGCTGCTTTGGCGACTTGATCCGCAAATCTCTTCTTTCCTGTTTTCTTTGATTCTTCTCCTTTCTTCTCCTGCCACCCTCGGTTAGAATCTTATATTCGGTGTGAACTGGTAAAAGTTTGTTGACTGGTTCACGGTTCTCCTTCTCTATGAATATCTTCCGTACTTGAGTACATCTGGAACACACACCTGTAATACAAACAAATCCAACTGAAACAGTTGCACCTTCAAATTTGGCGTCCGTCGTCTTGCCAATCGTCTTGACCAATAGCGCTACGATAGCTTTGTGAAGCGAGGCCAGGTTCTGTTACCTTCTCTATGGGGTGGTACACACACAAACTCTACAAAAGGCAAGGTCATAGAGGAATGTATTACCAATAATGATTTATGTATTTCTAATGATTCCAATACATATTTGCACCCTGCTACAGGCACATATTCCTCACTTGATTTGTCACAAACAGATTCAAGACTGCTCAACGAATTCGAATGGTCAGTCCATCATGACCTTTGTGGAAGTGACCATTTACAAACTTTACTTTCACTCGTTCATCCAGCTGATCTTCCCAATTCATCAAGAGATAATTTTACAAAGGCAAATTGGTCTTTATTTGAGACATTATGCCAACGTACAAGTACACCTGAGACCCAGAATTGCATCTAGCAGGCACTCCAATTAAAACTCTCGAGGAAGCTAAATTTCTGGGAAATATATTTGACGAACATCTTACTTTTCTTACCACATATTAAATCTCTGAGGGCTCAGTGTCTCGAAGGCACTTGATTTATTAAAGGTTGTTTCAAACTCCAAGTGGGGGAGGGGACCAGTTAACCCTTCTTCACTTATACAGATCACTCGTCCGTTCTAAACTCGACTATGGCTCCATCATTTATGGTGGAGCCTGCAAAAGTAATCCTAAATCGTTGGATTCTGTTCACCACTAAGGTGTCAAACTTCGTTTTGGATCTTTTCGAACTTCTATTGAAAGTATTTATGTAGAGGTTGATGAGCCATCTCTAACAACGCCGCACAAAATTATCCTTACAATATATCACCAAACTATATTCTAAAGAGTCTAACCCCTGCAATTAACTGTGTTTTTAATCCTCTTCACGAGGATCTGTACAACAAGAAGTCTGCTGTTATTCCGCCACTAGGAATAAGAATTAAACCCTTTCATGCTGGCATTAGTTGGATAATATTTCTCTTTTGCGCATACTTTTTCTCCTCCTTTGCAGTTAGTGAGACCAGAAGTTGACCTATCACTCACACCATTTAAACAATCTGAAACTAATGAATTACAATATAAACAAGAATTTAATCAATTAAAAAGTAAATACAATACATACAAGTCCTTATTTACAGATGGGTCCAATGATGGTGGCACAGTGGCTTGTGCCACTGTCATTGGATCCAGAACAATATCTTCTCGACTACCAAACAACAGCTCTATTTTCACAGTGGAAGCTAACGCCATATTAACAGATGTTAAATATGTTAATAGAGACCATAAATATAAACAATACATAATATATTCAGACTCTCTTCATGCCTTCATGCTGTAAAATGTGTCTTCTCAACATCCACTTTTAATTGAAATACTAGAATTATTCAACGATCTGGCTACTGGTCAGTGCAACATCGTCCTCTATGTTGGCATTTCTGGTAACACAATGGCTGATCTTGCTGCTAAGGCAGCACTCAACAAATCTGTAACACCACTACTGATCCCATATTCCGATTAGAAAGCTGTCGTTAGATCTTATATCCGTGATCTAATGCAAAAAGAGGTAGGACACCCAAGTAGGTATCAATAAATTAGATGCAATAAAACCAGTTATCGGTTACACCTACTTGGGTTGTCAGTCCAGATTGGAAGAGGTCATTATGCGACGATGTCGTATTGGCCATACTATATATACTCATGAGTACATATTTAAAGGCGAGGATCCTCCGTTTTGTATCCCTTGTGATGAAAGAATCATGGTCAAGCATGTCCTGCTTGACTGCATAGATTTTCCCATCACAAAGGCTAAATATGTCAGCGTTAAAACTGTTAAGGATATTTTTTGATAATGTTAATCATCATTTTATTATCGAGTTTTTAAAAGAAATAGAATTGCTTGCGAAAACGTTTTGAAGGGGGTTGAAGTATCGTAAACTTATTGTCCTTCTCAGAGGGTACGTCAGTCCCAAAACGTCAAAGTCAATTTTGCTCTACCAAACTTTTTAATCGTAGTATGTTTGTTGCTTTTAATAATGGCTACACCTCCGTACAATCTCAGCGGCTGTAGGGATGGTGTAGATCCAGCTAGGGTCCAGCTTGGGATATACGTAAATTTTGAAATTATGAATAATGATCTATTTATTCATTAACACACTGATAAAATATCAATCATAAAAATACCAATATCTCTAACTTATTTTGTCCAGTATATTGTGTATTGTCCAAATAATGCTATTAGTTTTAACTTTACATGCTAGTTTTAATTTAACTGCAATAGTCTAGTTGTTTTACTGTCCTTGATCACAGGTGTTATAATACATACATATTGTTTATAAACATCCAATTTCTTCTCGTCACGATATGGCTGAAAATTGCCGATGTGACGTTGACTTTAACTCACTCACTCACTCACATGTGTTTACGACATGCTATGTTAAACGTCATAGTAAGCATCACTTACCTTCACCACCTGCAGGGGAGCTCATCATTCCACATCATCCTAGTTTAACGTCAAGGCGAAACCAATTCAGATGTAAAATATTCTCAGTCATATGACATGTGCGCACATACTTTAAACATGTAACCTTATCTGTACCTTGTTGCATGTGACACTGCTGATATATTTGATCATTACAAACAACATGTGATATATGATTACTTTATCTCTCGTAACTGACCTCATTGATATATGTCACATCGGCAATATTTCAGCCATGTTGTGACGTAAAAGTTATAAAGTAACAATAAACACAATTACATTATAAAACAACCGTCGACAAAGGACAGTAAAAAGGACTAGATTATCAAACGAATAAATTTAAGACTAGTAATTAAATCTAAAATACTTTAACTATAAGTGACAATACAATGTAAAAACAGGCTATAGATCGCAAACAACTGAAGGTAGATAACCATACTAGGAACCATGGGGACTTACATATTACTTTTGCTACCTGCATGGACCCTAACTGGAGTTACATCATACCTCAATTTAGACACATCTGGCCATACATTAAAAATACACATATTCTACGATTAACAAAGTGGAAAGTTCAATTTACTTTGAATGTTTTTTGGACTTACGTACCACCAGGAACCTTTGAAGCTGATCACTTCTGATCCCGTCACGCTCCATACGACAAACGTGAACTGATGAAGACTTTTCTTTTTTATGCATCAGGAACCATAGTTCAGCTGCAGTAAATTCACCCCATACAGTATATCTGGTGACAGTGTAATCAAGTACAGTACATTTGGCTTTACACGTATTGGTTCGAATCCCATACCCACCCTGATTATGGTTACTGGGTTGTCAACGCTACAACACTCTTCCCATGCTACCATTTGTCTCACGGCTTTAAAGTCTGCAGACCCTTTTGTTAAAGGTCAAACCTATAAAACAAAATAGACTACACTGTACAGTTTCACAATGGTTAGTTCTGTCATTATAACTAGTACAACACTGGAAATGTTGCTAGTGAGCTACAGTGAGCTTGCTAAGTCAAACAGCTCCTGATCACCAAAGTCATTCCTGAAAGACTGACTGAGTTTGGTTTTACGCCGCTTTGAGCAATATTCCAGCAAATATCACGGCGGGGACACCAGAAATGGGCTTCACACATTGTGCCCATGTGGGGATTCGAACCGGGTCTTCGGCGTGACGAGCCAGCGCTTTAACCACCAGGCTACCCAACCGCCCCATTCCTGAAAGAAGCATCTGCGTGTGCTTGTTTTTTGTTTTTTGCCGGTGGATCGACATCCTGTACAAATCGCTACATTGCGAAACATGAAAGGGTGAAGGTCATTTCCAAAGTTCCTCCACACAACTAGGCTTTCTACAAAAATCAATTAGCAAACAAGTTATTACTTGTGAAAGACTGGTGGCGACATTCCTATGTGCAAACCGTTGATATACCAGGAAGTGAAACTGTAAGTTATCGTAAACATGATGGATCATGGATGATTCCCTAACTATAATAAAGAATACAATTATGGGGAATGATTCCATTTGTAAAATATATTGACAGATAATTTACAGAAGGCCACAAAGGATTGCAAATATTTGAAACTGCCGGCCCGATACAATAACAACCGGCGCCGGGCCTCCGGGCCTCCGGGCCAGCGATTATTTCGAACGCTAGTCTCACCTGCATCAGGATCCACCCATCAGCTGACATCCAATGACACCTGACGAGACACTGTGATGGAAATCACTAGCGAATTACCCTATTTCCTCTAAGATACGCCGGGTATGTATTCGCCCTTAATAAAAAAAAGATTAAGGCATGGTCCTTTTGGTCATAACTTCCTGTCCTCCCACAAGGCGGCTAAGCTGGTGAAAGGGGTTTTCATGTGTATAAATTTGTATGGGAACCGGTGCTAGAGGAACGTTTACAGACCAATCTAAATCCTTGTAATGGCTATGACAGGTATGCTATATCGATAGTGAAAGACAGCAAGCGGACCTCAATAAGCCCCAGGGTCTGAAAGTCCGTTGTAAAAAGCACCCGAGCGCTTATTTGAGGAATATACTTTAAACATTAAATATTCCTTCTGCAGTAGGTGATAATATACTGAGTCAAAAAGAAACTTCACAAAATGTAATTTGAAAAATAATGAATAATTTTTCTCTGATGATACATCTATGTATCCGAAATGGGATCCTATCTTTCGACTCCTAGAAAAACGTTAGCAAAACCCACTCAAAACCCATCCATTCGTCGTGCAAATGACGTCCAGTGCCAAATCAGGTTTTGCACGTGCAGTCGATCACGTGATCTTCGCATCGAAGTTTTCTTCATATGCACGTGTTTGCATTGGCCTCAAGAATTGAAAAACACTTTTAAACCACATTTTCTAACGGTACTTGAAATGCCACGATTATCAAATGTGCAACGTCAAGCGTCTGCTGTGGGCCCCAACGTCACCTCCGATGGACCCAGAGAGACTGGAATCGAGTCG